AAGACTCTGTCTCAAAAAAAAAAAAAAGAAGAAGAAGAAGGAAATTCTGCCATTTGTAACAATGGATGAACCTGGGGGACATTATGCTAAGTAAAATAAGCCAGGCACAGAAAAATAAATACTGTATGTGCTCACTCACATGCAGGAGCTTAAAAAGTTGTTCTCATAGAAGTAGAGAGCAGAATAGTGGTTACTAGAGGCAGGGAAGGGTTGAGGGGTGGGTAGCCAAAGATTGGTTAACAGATACAGAAGTACAGCTGGATAGGAAGATTAAGTTCTAGCATTCTACAGCACCATAGGGTGACCATAATTAACAGCAATTTAGAGTATATTTTCAAATAGCCAGAAAAGAAGATTTTGAATGTTCTCCATACAAAGAAATAATAAATGATACTAATTATCTTGATTTGATAATTACACGTTGTAGACATTTATCAAAACATTCCAGTGTACCCCATAAATATGTATAATTAGTATGTGTCAATTTAAAATAACAAGGCCAGTGGCTCACAGCTATAATCCCAGCACTTTGGGAGGCCGAGACAGACAGATCACCTGAGGTAGGGAGTTCAAGACCAGTCTGGCCAACATGGTGAAACCCCGTCACTACTAAAAATACAAAAATTAGCCAGCCGTGGTGGTACATGCCTGTAGTCTCAGCTACTCAGGAGGCTAAGGCAGGGGAATTGCTTGAACCTGGGAGGTGGAGGTTGCAGTGAGCCGAGATCCCACCACTGCACTCCAGCCTGGGCGACAGAACAAGACTCCGTCTCAAAAAAAATTAAAAACTTAAATAATAAAATAATAAAAGAAAAAAAAGAAAGTCTCCTCAACAATTGGGGTTAGAACAATTTAAAATTCACAGGCAAAATAATGAACCCTGACCTAATCCTCATACCTGACTCAAAAATTAATGCAAAAGGGCTGGGAGCAGTGGCTCACACCTGTAATCCCAGCACTTTGGGAAGCCAAGGCAGGTGGATCACCTGAGATCAGGAGTTTGAGACCAGCCTGGCCAACATGGTGAAACCCCGTCTCTAGTAAGAATATAAAAATTAGCCAGGTGTGGTGGGGTATGCCTGTAGTCCCAGCTATTCGGGAAACTAAAGCGGGAGAATCACTTGAACCGGGGAGGTGGAGGTTGCAGTGAGCCGAGATCACCCTACTGCACTCCAGCCTGGGCAACAGAGAGAGACTCCATCTCAAAAAATAATAATAATAATAATAATGCAAAAGGAATCACCTAAATGTAAAATCTAAAACTATAAAACTATAGAATAGGAGAAAATCTTCATGACCTAGGGTTAGGCAAAGTTCATAGACATGACACCAAGGGCATGATCCACAAATAAATGATTCATAAATTGGAAATTTTCCAAATTAAAAATTCTTGCTCTGCAAACAACATTATGAGAAGAAAAGGACAAGCAATACCCTTGGAGAAAACATTTACAAACCATATATCTGACTAAGGATATATAAAGAACTCTGAAAACTCAACAATAAGAAAATCCAATTGAAAAATGGGCAGAAACTTTTGAATAGACACTCATCAAGAGGACAGACAAAAAGTAAATAAGCATATATAAAGATGCTTAACATCTTTAACCATTAAGGAAATGCAAATTAAAATCATTATGAGATAAATTACTAAATAAAAAATACTGACAATACAAAGTACTGACAAAAACATGGAACAATTGGAACTCATACACTGCTGGGAGAAATGAAAAACGGTTCAGCCACTCTAGAAAATAATTTGGCAGATTCCTAAAAAGTTAAACATACCCTTACCATATGACCCAGTAATCCATTATTTACTCCACAGAAATGAAAACCTATGTTCACACAAAACCCTGTGCATGATTGTTTAAAGTAGCTCTACTTATAACTGCCCAAAACTGGAAATAACCCAAATATGTCTTTCAACAGGTGGATGGATGAATACAGTGTGGTACATTTATACCATGGACTACTATTCAGCAATAACAAAGAAACAACTACTGACACACACAGCTTGGATAAATCTCCAGGGAATTATGCTGAGTGGAAACAAACAAAAGAAACAATCTGAAAAGGTCACATACCATATGATCCATTTATATCACATTCTTGAAATGACAAAATTCCCAAAATGGAGAACAGATTTGTAGCTGCCAAGAGTTTAGGAATGAGTATGGGGGAGGAAGGGCAGTGGCTGTGGCTATAAAGGACAACTTGAGGGATCCTTGCAATGATGGGGCTATTCTATGCTTGACCGTATCAACGTCAATATCCTGATTTTGATATTGTACTATGGTTTTGCAGGATGTTATCATTAGGGGAATCTAGGAAAAGAGTACATGGGATTTCTCTGCATTATTCTTTCAAGTGAATGTAAATCAATCATCTCAAAAAGAAAACGTTACATAACACATGACACCCCACTTACATGACATTCTTGAAAAGACAAAACTATCGTGACACAGAACAGACCTGTCACTGCCTGAGGTTACAGGTTGGGGAGGATATGACTATTAACAGAGTAGCATGAAGGAGTTTTTTGGGGTGATGAAACTACCATCTATCCTATAGATTAGTTATACCATTCTAAAAGAAAAATCAATTACACTGTATGTTAAATTAAAAAATAAAAATGTTTAAAGTGAAAGAAAAAGATGGTGGGCTGCAGGTATCTGAAAAATTTTTGTCTCTTGGGCAAAAGAGAATTCAAAGTCCAACTAAGAAAATTGCTTCAGGAAAATCATGGGAAAGATAAGCAGGTTTCCTAAGAGATTTCATTCCCAAGTTACATTTTGACATGATGTCTCCAGCTCACTGAAGAAAGCTGTAGGACATATCTGCAGGGAAGCATTTATCACCAGGCTGTAGTGGAGGACAATTCCACTATCCACATGAAAACCCAGCAAAGAAACACCTTTAAACACAATTCCAGGCAACCTTGACTTCCCCTGAAGGCTCAGTGTGCTCTCTCCTGATAAGTAAGCTGAGCCAAGGTACTGGTCATGTTTCCCTCTGGCTACCAGAAGGCTCAAAGAGAAACTGACAGCCCAACATTAATATCTGTTACACCCTAAGTCCTGTACACCTCTACATTCTAACTTGGCCTTGATCTGCTATCTCTTATTTTGCCTGATCCTAATCCTTATTTACAAATACTTTCCTATTTTGTGGCAGGGATTTCCACATATTTCATCACACTCACGGTAAAATAGAGGGATGAAAAAACAGATAACATACTTACCTGGGGTTTGGCCATTTCCTGCTCTTCTTGGGAAAAAGCAGAGATGTATGATGGCTGAGCTGGAACAAGTGGAGAAGAGCAGAGCATATGAAAATACCCCATCAGACTTTCAGTGCCCAGAATTAGCTGCCTAGCTATCCCCTCACATCAGCTGGCCATGAAACCGCCCTCTGGAAGAGTTTGGGCAACCATGTGGTTTTAACAGTCTGTGTATTCTTCACTCTTCATGTGAACCTTGAACACAAAAGGTTTTATATACCATGTATTACATTGTGTACTGACCCAGAAATTGTATTTCTAGGTATTTTCCTTAAGGAAATAATTTATCATCATGTATCATTTCTCTGTACATACCCACGTTTCAGCATTGATTTTAATAATGCCAAACTAAAACGATCCTCTAAGACCCATAATGGATTAAAAATGAAATATAAAAGATAAAATGCTACAAAGCTGTTTAAAACGTTATATGGAGCTGCATAGTATCTATGCACTTTATGGTACATGTATCTCAACTAATTATTTTTTAAAGGTATACAAAAAAAAATTTTACCCTGAATTAAAACTTCTAAATGAAAACGAAGCAGGTTATAAAACTGAGGGAATCCATTTTAAAGCTATATGTTAAATGTTTAAAAGGGATACTCCTATACACACCAAAAATGTCTAACAATGAACGGGAAGGAATTAGTTCCTTTTGATTTTCTTTTCCTCTATTTCTGAATTAATCTATAATTCAAATGTTATTTGTTAAATGCCAAAAACTACACTCTAAAACTATTACTCCAATTACATTTTAGCCCCATCTCCCTCAGACCCCGCACCTACCCCTCTTCCCAGGCCCCCAACTCTGGGTGAGGCCCAGGGTCAGGTGAGACCTTGCAGGTGCCTCTCCCTCCTTCTGCTCACCTCACCAGAGCCGCCCTGCCCAGGAGCTGGAAAAAGGCCTTCGGGTGCAGGTTCACTTCGGCCGGAGTATTCACACCAGACCCCCACCTCGGGGCTTGGGCAAGGGGAGAGGGTAGAGGGAGGAGCGGGGCGCGTCTAAAGAGGGGCCTGAGGGATGCGCATGAACCCTTAGCGCAGGTCACTGTGCTGGAAAATGTGTAAGAGTCAAAGTTTAATAAGCCCCATTCAATCCTGCTTAGCCCCCATAACTTTGTTCACCAGCAAGCCCCTAGAACCTCGTCCAATGACCTCTCCGTTCCCCATCACTCAACCCCCAACCCCCACTTCTCTCATCTCGCAGAACTCCCCATCACTCAGCCCACGACCCCTAGCACTTGGCCCCTCAACCTCACTCTTTCGACAACAGATTTTCTGCTCGCTGAGGAGAAGACCGTTACAAAACCTGGCCCCAACAAGCACTTCCGCTTCGGGACCGACTCTTTGGCACCGCAGCCTAAAGGGCTGCAGCGGTCGGTTCTGCGCACGCTCAGTGGAGCCTTTGAGACGCCCATCCGCCAATAGTCAACATGGGGCCGCGGCGCAGGCGCAAAGGGAAGGTAGCGGTGCTGGTGACGTCACTGCTTGAGGCGAGATGGCCGAGCCCGCCGTGTCTTTTCGCTTCTGGGACGACGTCGCTGAGCGGGTGTTTACTTAGTTCTGCAGAGGCCAGCCTTCCTAAGACTTCAGACACCGATTTTCTTATGGCAGGGCGGGGAGGGGAAGTGACCAACTAAGGAAAAAATTCTCGCAAGCGGCAATTTCTCACTTTGAACTTGGAGGGCAGCAACAGGGTTGCAGGTGTAAATGAACGGGAAGACAGGGTGCGTGGCTAAATTGCTCTGCGTGCACAGAGTAGGAGGTAGCGAAAAGCCACTGGCTTCACCCAGTGGCCAGGACTGGGAGTTTACGTTGTAGCGTTTGAAGAATGGTAGATGGGTATGCACACCAACAAGCTGAAAAATCAACGGCGATGTGAGACGCACACACCAGGGGCGAAGGGGTGTATTAAGTGGTGGCTAACAGGTTGCTTTTTCTGGAGTAGTCTGCGTCAGTGTGTTGGGAGTGTAGGGGGTGTAGGCAGGGGCCAGGTGCTTTAGGACCTCCTTGGCCAGGGAGCTCATATTTCATTCTGGACATAATTCTGGACCATAAGAAGGATCCGATTTGTAAAGACCAGTCTGAAGAAATCTAGCATTATATACTAACGTTAAAAATACACATATATTGAGCTGGGTGCAGTGGCGCGCGCCTGTAATCCCAGCACTTTGGGAGGCCGAGATAGGCGGATCACCTAAGGTCAAGAGTTCAAGACCAACCTGTCCAACATGGTGAAACGCCGTCTCTACTAAAAATGCCAAAGATTAGCCGGGCATAGTAGCATGCGCCTGTGATCGCAGCTACTCAGGAAGCTGAGGGACGAGAATCGCTTGAACTCAGGAGGTGGAGTTTGCAGTGAGCCAAGATCACACCACTTCACCCTAATCTGGGCGACACAGTGAGACTGCATCTCACAAAAACAAAAGCCTACATGTATAATATATCCACATACATATATATGCATTTAAATAACCCACATACATATATTGTGACATGTATACATGTATACA